TCGCACACGAATGGTTCCAGATAAAATGTTGATATCAAACATGTTCGGTTTTGGAAATTGTGGCTCTTGGCTGACAATTGCATAGCTGACTATACCGTTGTTCGTATCTGGGTCATCTGCATCAGTGGCTGTGACCGTCATAAACTCATAATCTTTGGTAAGGGAATAAAGACTAATTAGGTGGTAAAAGCTGCAGAGGCATTTGAAGAGAAAAAAATAGCTAAAAGCTATTTTACTGAGAAACTGCACCATACACCTACCTTTTCCAGCAGCTTCATGAACATATCCATTAAAAGGATTTTGAGTAAACACAGGCCTATTATCATTTTGGTCGATCACATTGATGACAATTTCCATTGGTTTTTCTGCTACATTAATCACATCAAGTGCTGTAGCATGAGCTATAAGCTAAAGAAATGAGAATAAATTTGGGCATGTTAAGAGGCAAATACTGAATGAGTTTCTTTAAAGTATTTTAGTCCATGTCTATTAGCTTTGAGACACTGATATGCAAGAAAACTGACTTCATCTTTAGTAGATATACAAATTTAAAATGCAAGGTCTCATGCAAACACATGAAAATAAATCTGATGAAAAGAGGACAGTTTTCAAAGAATCAAGAGTGATCAATGCTTAAATACAAACTAAATGTTGATTTTAAATGTTTAAGAGACTAAATATCAACTTACTCTGTATGAAGCTTTTTTTTCTCTGTCGAGTGGCTGAGTCACATAGAGATTCCCTGATAATCTTTCAACAGTGAAAATTCCCTTTGGGTCCTGATTTGCCCCTTCACCTGTGATGCTGTATTGCATTCGAGTTTCCAGGGCATAGTCGGACTTTATCTAAACACAGAAAGCAACAAGAGAACAAAGTCAATGACAAACAAACCTCTCTCATCAGTCTAATTCTGAACAGTCCTTTCATGATTTCCACTCACCTGGACCAGCTTCATTGGGAACGGACCTCTGCTATTCTCGGGTACATTGAATGGCGGAATAACCCAACCTCTCTTTGCTCTCTTCAGACCCGTTGAAGACTTTAGAAAAGTCAGAACCTGATCAGAGGGCAATTCCATCTAAAAATATTAGATAAATGTGTTAGTAAGAGACAATAAAC